ACCAGACTACACAGCGCAACAACCCAGAAGACAGAAATCTTCATACTCATCGCCCTGATGATGGAGGCAGCATGACCTCCGAAACGTTGGTAAACATCGACCGGACTACACAGCGCAACAACCCAGAAGACAGAAATCTTCATACTCATCGCCCTGATGATGGAGGCAGAATGACCTCCGAAGCGTCGGTTAAATACCCAGAAGACAGAAATCTTCGGACTCACCGCTGTGAAAACCTCAAATCCTACAAAAAAGTGTTTCGTATCGTAAAACCCAAAGGTTCATTGTCTGTGGTTGCTCAAGAAGACAGACATGTAATTTTTGTTGTCAACTAAATCATACTTGGGCTTACTGAAACCTCGCGAACTGCTAACGAAAAGGCATTTCAGCCTGAAGAGTGTCTGGAAGCGACAAGAGGACTTCGTGGACGTCAGACGCGTAAATTCCCTCTCCAGTGATCCTTGCAAGAGTAAAGTATCCTTCGCAAGGAACTGGTTCACTTTCCTTCGCAAATAAACAACGAGATTAAGAGACGAGGCAGAGAAGATTACGGCGTCGTCTCAAATAAAAATAATGACGACACATGAGCTGACGGCTAGAAGAGAATGATAATATTAAAATGGATCTTGCAGAAAGACGTGGACCGCATTCATCTCGGTCGGTTCTGGGTCCAGTGGTTTGACCTTCGGGTTACATGAAACACGGGGGAATGTTTTGACGAGCTGAGCGACTGTTAGCTTCTGTACGCAGTTAGCTGCAGTGTGCTGACGTAAGGAAGGAGGAGCCCAGTCTCACTGGAAATTTTGTTAGACAGCTGACAAGGATAGGATGAGCTGAAGGTGTAGGTCGAATTGGAGGCGCGGAAACGGGAGGAAACCGAGCCAGGTAAAATGGCTGCCAAAGTGTTAGGTTAGATTAGGTTAAGTTAGGTTAAGTTGGGTTAGGTTAGATTAGGTTACATTAGGTTAAGTTGGGTTAGGTTAGATTAGGTTACATTAGGTTAAGTTGGGTTAGGTTAGATTAGGTTACATTAGGTTAAGTTGGGTTAGGTTAGATTAGGTTACATTAGGTTAAGTTGGGTTAGGTTAGATTAGGTTACATTAGGTTAAGTTGGGTTCGGTTAGAATAGGTTACATTAGGTTAAGTTGGGTTAGGTTAGATTAGGTTAAGTTGGGTTAGGTTAGGTTAGGTTAGGTTAGGTTAGGTTTCTGACGACCTGTCTGTCGGGGCGGCACACAGTCAACCCGTGGTGAAATTCTTACCAATTATACAATGGCGTAAACATTTCTAGAAACTAATTTTAATTTTAAGATTGCCGCAGTCGACCAGTCGGAAGCGTCACAATGGTGAGAATCGACTACCATGCCCCATTCAAATGTTAATTGTTTCGTTTCTCAATGTGAGAGAGAGAGATTGTGTGGCCTGAGGCAAATCTCCGTTCTTCTTAATCACTTTCTCCCTACACAATGTCGCATTTGTTCAAAATAATCGTGTGGATGGAAAAAGAAACATGTCCCCTAAAACACGACGGAGACGGTCGCCCTCAGAAGACCACGAACTCCCTTCGATCTTGGCGTCACAAGCAAAAATTCTGCACTAATTTCTTGTGTTTCAGGTGCTGCTCGCCCTTCTGGCCCGTCCTCTGGGCTCTGTGCCCCAGTGTGACCACTACGGCACATGCGGGAACACCTACCCTTTCCTTCCGGCACCACCCGGAAGATCTCCGCCCTGCGCCAAGCCAGGAACCACTTTCTGCGAGAAGATCGACCATTATCCCACGTGAGTCACCGCTGTATTTTCTATTTCACCCATTCAAGCTTCATGAGGTCAGCCTGGTCGTACCACACCCCCTACTGATGAGTTTGCCTCGTTCGTCAACTTCATTCCTTGATACAGCATCGTGTAATCAACAATTAGCTGTTTTCTTGAAACGTTAATTTACGCGAAATAATCTAAGGTACTAGCAGCATCGTTAAATAAGCAACAACCAAACAAATCATTGACAATGAGGCGTCATTTAATAAATAACCTAAAGACCTCCCCCAGACGACCGCTACGGACACATGCCAAGTGCGTGGCTTGGATTTTCACACGCACGTACGTCGTCAGAGTCCTTGGATCTAAGCCAGGACATCCTATTGACAACAGCGATCACAGACCCGGTGGTTCTCCGCGGGATTACAGAATCGAGAACTCGCCCACCTAGCCAAGAAATAGTCAGCCTTTTATAGAAACTTGAAATAACGCCGAATTGTACACAAGAGTCCGACACTGTTCCGTGTCCTAAACCAGATTAACACATTCCACGTCTCTGCACCGTGTTTCCTTAACATCTTTATTATTATGATTATTATTATTCCATCCACCATTTTCACTTCTATGTGCCTGAGATAAACCTTGCCCCTGAGGTACATAGTGCAGCAGATATTTCCGAAATACATTTTGTTTTTAATACGAGGGTTAATTCAAAAGTCATGGCAACTAATTTTTTGGGGGGCAAACACGTTGTATTGAAGAAAGTTCAAAATATTCATATGAAAGGGCACGATGTACTCCTCCGATTGGCGTAGTCAGATCAGGAAGGTGGGAATGGGGGTGGGAATAGTAGCCAAGAAAAGAGGTTCATTACGGAATGACCTTTTTTCATTCTTTAATCCTCGAAAAATTCAATTGTGATTAAAATAATTCAATGTGAGTTAACTCAGAATTCTTACATTAAGACTAGCAACCTTCAAAGTAGTCTCCGAGTGTCTCAAGTACTCGCTGCCTTCGACGAATAAGACGTCGAATACCATCAGCTTCACCATCTCCAACGTCTTGACACTGCCTGCTATTGGTTTACAGGGGCTGATTGCCCAGAAACTGGACTAATAAAATAGCCCAGGTATGATTTTACTTCTCCGAAATTAACACCAGATAAAACAACAAGCAGAATTCTGTGATACGAAACAATTTAGCGCCAGACCTAACCTAACATAACCTAACAGCTCGATCTTCACTCTCGACCATACGATATATCGATACTGTGACTTATTATCGAACATAAGCAGCCATTTTGTGCAATGAAAATCAAGTCAGCTGTTTTAATGTAAATGTTTTACCAAGATCTTGCTCAGAAATTAGCCGCTTTTTAAACAAATAACGCAAAATCTGAAGAGCATAGACCAACAGGGAGACCCAGTTTTAGATAAGAGGATAATATTAAAATGATGTTAAAAGAAACGGTTCATGGGAATGTGAAGTTCCTGGTTCTGATTAACATAGAGTGGAGGGCTGTTGTGAACACAGTGATGAACCTTTACGTTTCCATAAAAAAATTGTAATTTATTTAACTGTCATCTGAGCTCCGTGGAGTCGGAACATCTCCTGACGAACCCTCGGAGGGGTGGGGTGGGGGGTGATTCCTAAGAACGAGAGAGCCCGGAAAGTCCGGGAGACTCAGACAAGACACAGGAGTCCAGAAATTTGCTGGAACGTTCAAGGAGTCGCTGACTTGCATTCGCGATAACACGAACGACGACTTGACAACTAGAATTGTATCGACCTTCTGTTCTTTTCAGAACACACCCACCTCTCTCTCTCTCTCTCTCTCTCTCTCTCCTTTCGGAATTCACAGTTCCGGATACGTGATTTGCAACTTAGGTTGTTCAACTACGTCAGTGGCTTTCAACATGTGGAGTCCCGTGGTAACTATATGTACCACCTACTAAAACAATCAGTATGTTTTTGGTACGGTTCTCTAAGCAAACATCGATTATTTCCTAAGTCAGCTTAACCTAACCTTCGTTGTCGTGGAGACACGCTGTGTTAATTTTGCTTTAAACAACGAATTTCGGGGCAGAGTCTCTTAAAACTGCAGCATCTGAATACAGATGGCAGCAGTGTAACCTGTCCCCAATGCCTCACGAACTGTCCTGGGTTTGAACTCGAGTCTTTGTGCTCGCACTCAAGAGTGCGCTGAGGCTGGCTGACCTTGGCTCAGTCGGGAATGCAGGTGGACTTTCACAAGATGAAAGTCCACGTGAGTCACACACTCTCTCCGAATCGCTATGTGGGTCACCGAGTCACAACGAAGGTGACACAAATACTTACGACACGGCGTGCCTCACGCTCTGGCTGCTTTAACCCCTGTACCCACTGGATAGGACGCTGGGTAGGCCCCAAACCACGGTCATCCAACCACTATGGCTGTGGTTATACGGTGGAACGCAGAGAAAATTAATGAGAACTAATTTCTGAGACACGATGTCGAGAGTCCAAAATAAGTTTATGACAAATCCGTACAATCACCGCGACGTGAGCTTTGTGGCTTCGTTGAAAAGCGATCAGCCAATAAACACGTCTGTTTTGCAAGTCAGCAAACAAATGAGTCCTCGTCAGCGCTTACAAAACGAGGTTTTAGCACTGCTGTAACACTGAATCAGATCAGGACAGTCTGTTACAGGAAGCAGGAAATACAAGACCAGTGTTTCCGGACGAAACATAACCTCAAAGGGCGCGTTCGTTAACAACAAAAGTATTTTTCGTCATAAGATGCTTTCGAAAAGATTGTGGGCTACCACTGACCGACATTGGTGTATTTTTAGACCTGTCGGGTTTCTTACACTGCGTCTAACTCACAGACATCCGCATTATAGTAACAAAATCACAAAATAAATAGTGATTTATTGTCAAAGAATATTGTACAAAGAGATAACACTAAGAGAGGTGGGTGTGTTCTGAAAAGTAGTGGTTTACCGCCTGTTACGGACTGGTTTTGAACCTCGTCTCCGACTAACGAAAGAGTTTTCAAGTTTTTGAGAAGAAAGCTCTTAGGAAAACTCAAATCAATATGGATGATATGGGCGGGGCATACATCACACATGGAAGATGACACTCGCATAAGTTGCGAAATATTTGGCCGGAAAAAGTGAAAGGAAGACGCCAACTTGTAAGATCTAGAAGTAGATGGTAGAATAATATGAGAACACGGCTTCATAAGACGCAGGGACCTGCTACAATGACTGCGCTCCAATGAGGTCTTTAGTTAGGAATCTGGACATTTATCTGAAGAAAATTCAAATATTTATAGGAGCGCTGAACGTAGTAAATAAATAAACAATTTAATGCGCACGTCATGGAGATCGCTTCCAGCTGTTAGCTTGACCCTGGTCAGTCCTTGCCTTGGACTGACAACAGCGAAGAGTAGTTCGAAATGCAAGTGGCATTTCAATCTCCAGCTGGCATACTTAATGTTTTTCATACACGTCGCTTCACCTATATAAAACTGAACGAGAAACTTATCACCACATCTGAATCAATGTCCATAAGTTATATATAACTTCATGGCTCTCTGTCAACAATCGGGGAATCTCGGTCTAAAACATTCTGACAAAAATGGAGCCCAGTTTAATTGCGACCCGCCATGGCCACGGGACATTTTACACGATCGCATAAATTGCACCTCACCCCACGCTTTGTATCCCCACGGACTCCATCTGTTGACAGAGTCCAGGAAACATCATTTTTTGTACGCAAAGATTCTTTGGCCCTAAAAGTACGGACTCCATCTGTTGACAGAGTCCAGGAAACATCATTTTTTGTACGCAAAGATTCTTTGGCCCTAAAAGTACGGACTCCATCTGTTGACAGAGTCCAGGAAACATCTTCTTTTTTGTACGCAAAGATTCTTTGGCCCTAAAAGTACGGACTCCATCTGTTGACAGAGTCCAGGAAACATCTTCTTTTTTGTACGCAAAGATTCTTTGGCCCTAAAAGTACGGACTCCATCTGTTGACAGAGTCCAGGAAACATCATTTTTTGTACGCAAAGATTCTTTGGCCCTAAAAGTACGGACTCCATCTGTTGACAGAGTCCAGGAAACATCATTTTTTGTACGCAAAGATTCTTTGGCCCTAAAAGTACGGACTCCATCTGTTGACAGAGTCCAGGAAACATCATTTTTTGTACGCAAAGATTCTTTGGCCCTAAAAGTACGGACTCCATCTGTTGACAGAGTCCAGGAAACATCATTTTTTGTACGCAAAGATTCTTTGGCCCTAAAAGTACGGACTCCATCTGTTGACAGAGTCCAGGAAACATCATTTTTTGTACGCAAAGATTCTTTGGCCCTAAAAGTACGGACTCCATCTGTTGACAGAGTCCAGGAAACATCATTTTTTGTACGCAAAGATTCTTTGGCCCTAAAAGTACGGACTCCATCTGTTGACAGAGTCCAGGAAACATCATTTTTTGTACGCAAAGATTCTTTGGCCCTAAAAGTACGGACTCCATCTGTTGACAGAGTCCAGGAAACATCATTTTTTGTACGCAAAGATTCTTTGGCCCTAAAAGTACGGACTCCATCTGTTGACAGAGTCCAGGAAACATCATTTTTTGTACGCAAAGATTCTTTGGCCCTAAAAGTACGGACTCCATCTGTTGACAGAGTCCAGGAAACATCTTCTTTTTTGTACGCAAAGATTCTTTGGCCCTAAAAATACGGACTCCATCTGTTGACAGAGTCCAGGAAACATCTTCTTTTTTTGTACGCAAGATTCTTTGGCCCTAAAAGTATGGACTCCATCTGTTGACAGAGTCTAGGAAACATTTTTTTTTTTTTGTACGCAAGATTCTTTGGCTCTAAAAGTGTATAGATGAGGTAGAAGGAAACACGACAGTAAAAGAAAACTTCAAAATAATTTACTCTCATTACAAAATGGTATTTCTCAGCGATATTTGTAGTGCGCCGCGATCAACACAAGTTGAAAACCACTGACGTATCTTGATCAGGGGCTGAGACATTCCACGCTTGTCTGTCGCTACCATCTGAAGGGCAGAAGTAGAATTTCGACTGGAACAGGTCTGCACATATTTTCAGATGTTGATATGCTCCATTAACCTTGGTATCCACTGCTTGTAGCGAGACAATTACAATTTGCGCCCAAAGTTTTATGTCTCTCCCTGAAATAGGTTGGACTCGTTTACTAACGACTTCCTTATTTAACGTTTGGCAGCCAGCCCTGTCGCCATCGCAGAACGTTATCTTCAAACCTTGAACGAAAATTACGCGTAAATTTTAATTAAATCGTACGAACTGTCAAAGTGTTACTTCAACTACTGTTGGTCTCCTTCCAGTAGCTCGCTGATGCCATCTTGTATTCTTTATCGTAACTAAAAATTACGTCGCAGATGTGACTTCATTGTTGCCAACGTAATCACACTAAACATCGCTAAACACCACAGACACCATTTTACATCAGACTTGTGTCGTGCCTACCATTGTTTATTTAACGACGCTTTCAGTATCTCAGACTCAGTAGTGTTAAGTTGTAGAATCATTACTAAGTAATAAATTGAACAGGAAGTGGTCTTGGCTCTAAATTTAAGATACTATCGCAACATGTGCGGGGATAAATTGAAGAAACTGCATCTGTTTTTGAAATTATGGAACGCCAGAGTTCCAAGCACTACGTGTTTAGTGTAATATAGGACAGAGTTATCAGTTGGAGGTTAGCGGGATATTTCTTTCCAGAAAATTTCCTTTTTAGGAACTCAACAGTTCTGATCGAACATTCTTATTACTGTGCGTCTGTACGTGGGGTACAGACCCTGCGAATTATGCCATACGTCCTCGTGCACAGTTTTCAATTGCTGGTAATTATTACGTCTGTTCAATTTTAATATCTCATAAAGTCGATAATTTTCAATCGAAAACAAATGTATTTGAACGTGGTGATATTCTAACAGCCCTGTATTGGAACAGGTTAATAACAACTCAAGAAAAGAAAGAAATAACTTGGTAGACCTAGATTTATATATGACAGGATAATATTAAAATTGGTCTTAAAATAATAGGCTGTGAACTGGATTAATCTGGCTCAAGACAGGGACTGGTGGTTGGCTCTCGTGAACAAAATAATGAACGTTTTTGTATCCATACAAAGCGGGGAATTTCTTTAATATCTGAGCGACTATCAGCTTCAAATGAAGGACCATGTTCTATCCAGCCAGTGTGATCATTACACACGTTCCTGTGTTTCTGTGAAAACATTTTAGAATTTTTTACTGCGTCCAACATTCAACTTTACACATATTCAAAATATAATTTTTTTCGCCTATAAAACATTTCTCCGAAAATAACTGGGTCGAGGGTCTTCGCCCCATTGTGTAGCGTGTTTAATATATTCTCCTCTGACTTCACACGCTTCCTTCCTGTAAGAAATAAGACGCCATGCATTATGTGTTCTGCTGTTATTCATATCAGCAGGTTTACTCTGCGCCAAGAGCATGTCTTTTGTTTCCAGGCGTACAAACATGTCGGTCCGATTATACCAACCTTAGGGGTGGTTGTTTATGGTTTAAAAACGTTTAATTAAAGCTTTGTGGTTAAAAAAAAGGGTGTACCTATTTAAACGTACCTAAAATTAGTGGTTTTCGTGTCTAATATTATTCAGTAAAACGGAAAGTAACAATTCTTTTATCTCAACAATTAAACTCATAATTCTACCGATTAGAGTCCTTCATCAGAAGCTGATATTCGCTTATCTACTCAAGGATATCTGCTCTTTATGAAACCATGTTAACAAGATATCATTACCGGTCTCTACCTTGGGCCAGATGAATCCAATCTAGACACCCAAACCTTATTTCTCCCAAGATCCATTTTAATATTATCTTGATTTGGTTGATGCTATCTGAAGGAGAGTACAAACAACTGAATTCCTCCAAATTCAAATCCTTCCACTCTCCTATCAGTTGATCCCTTTGGGATACAAATACTCTCCCAAGCTCCAGCCTCAGTCCCCTCCGACGTCAGAGACCAAGTTTTACACCCATACACTCGTTCAATAGCAGTTTCAATCTCCGCCCCTGCGTGTATAGGCAGAACTCGACGAACCAAAGCGAATTCTAAGTGAATCAAATTACACCGTGAAGAAACCAACAAGTGTGAAGGAGAATTACCAAAACAAAAACAAAAAATCTTCCGGCTATTAAAACTATGTGAGAAGTTTTTCTATGTAAACAGAACGGCTCGAACAATGGACGGACGAACAAGTGACAATCACCTTTGTTCTGACGTCACTTATCCATAACGTATCGGTGTTCTAGTCACTCGTAATTCGCAGAACGAATTCGTCGAGGTGTCCAAGACCTTCTCATCATCCGTTCATTGATGGTGAGACAATTTGTCCCTGTCCTTAATTAAGAGCCGCTCTATGGGGTGGGGGGGGAGTAGCCCACGCTCTGGTCGCTTTGCCCCGTTGGCCAGGCCGTGAGATGACAACAGGCACCTCAGAAGTATGCAACAGCTCCGTCCAGGTTTTAGTCAACTCTGTCGGCAATGGAAGGAACTATCATACTGTGGGCTGATTTTCGCGGGTCTGATCCCGGAACGTGACGTAAGCACCTAGAATCTAGGTCCTAGATGATCTCTGTGTGAGCACTTCAACGTTGTCCTATCCACCTGTGCTTCAAACACCTGATCTATATTCTGTACCAATGCAGGACAGGAACGAGGCTTTCTTTAAGAGGATTTCGTCAGTCCAGAAGTCCGATTTCAGAGCGGAATCTTGAAATAGGCCACGATCACTTCCCCAAATTTATCTTCAGAATAAATAAATCTGCATATTCCTGTCATTTCTCGTAAAACATTTGTAGTTGGCACGGCGTTGTCAGATAAGCCAAGACCCTACATAAATCTTTATTGGTGTTTTGCAGACAGCTGATTCGCTACCTGATCGAGAGATGGGGCTATGATTACAGTACGCTCCTAAGCGACGAGTCGCGCGATGACTTCAGTTACAGGTAACTTCATGTATCTTCTCCTCCGACGTTTCAGAGGTCCTTACTGATGGAGGTATTAAGGGCCTCTAAAACGTCGGTAAACTTCTACCACGACACGACAACCCAGAAGACGGCCATCTTTAAAAAAATCCACTTCTGAGAAGATTATTTAAAGTCTCGTCTTATTTTCAAGTCCTGTACTCGGTATAGTAAATGTCATCCTTATTAATACACGTGTTCTTTTCCTCAACCTCGGAAGTTACTAGGTTTCAAATGTGGAGCTCTATTAGGTTAGAGTCCTGAGACCTTGTTCTGTTTCCAGGACACCCGTAACATACGGACCGCCACATCATCATCCGGGTTACGCATATGGACCACCGAAGGTACCGGGCGCTGTTCCGTACTACCCGGGAGTCCAACTTGTTGGGGGGAATGCGAGCAACGGAGGGTACCCGGACAGACGGTACAAGTTACCGCCTCAGTTCCTGAGCACAGGACCTTTTCTGTACACGACTGTGCTCCAGCCAAGCGCACAATACAGCCCGGAGGATTGGTGGGAGAGGCAAGGAACTCGGCTCAAATATTATAATTAAGAATGAGAACTTATGGATTATTTTAGGACACTTTTGTACGATGGCCAATCACGGTGGTCTAGCGGTTAGAACGCTGGCCTTGTAATCCTGGGGTCTCGGGTTCGATTCCCGGCGGTGCCCGAATTTATAACTTGTGTTGGGCAAGGCCGTGGTCTAGGCAACACGGAGTTTTCCTCCGTGGCATCCCAACAATTACTCCATTCACACACAGAAGAAGGCAATGGCAAACCACTTCTGGATCATCTGCCAAGAACGTATATGAACAGGTCCCAGTCCGAGAAGAGAAAAGGACGGAAGGATCGTGTTCATATGGACCTGTCGTCAGACAGAACACTAAATAAATAAAATTGTACGATGCTGAATGTCGTAACTGAATAGTTAAACCTCCTGCTTTGTGTCTGAGAGGTCGTAGATTCAAATTCTGGCTGTACTGACTGAGTTATCTCATGGTTAGTAGTACCTTAAATTAGGCCATGACCACTTCCTTACAAATCCTGTAACAGGGTCTATCTACGTAACAAGCAAATGCTGTTTGGTAGTTTGTTAGTTAGTTAGTTAACTGACCAGTGATCATACACTGGCCGAAGATGGAGACACGAAGTCACCGACGTGAGGGCCTCAAATCTCATATTCTGTGACGTCATACGATGTCTGTCGCGCGCAGGTACACGCGGTCCACGGGCAGCAACCATCAGCTGCAGTCTCACCCCAGGACGCGGAGGCAGGCGGCAACGAACCAGCTCTGCCCCACCAGGACCGAGTTCATCATGCCGAAAGCAGCGATGAACAACAGAGGGAACTGGATGTTCGTGGTGAACCTCAACGAGGTAGACGACAGGTACACGCAGCTGGTCGGCACGGAAACTTGCACGTGAGTACATCTGGCACGATCGGCAACTACAAGATTCGCACTCCCTGCCATTCAGATTCACTGCATTAGTGATTGAGAGCGAATGTCAAAATGTTTATGGTCCAGTTGCCTCTACAGGAATGGGTGCGAAACATGGTCTCTCACTCAGAGGGAGGAGCACAGATTGCAGGTGTTTGAGAATCGGGTGTTGAGGAGGATATTTGGGCCTAGGAGAGAAGACGATGGGGCATGGAGAAAACTGCATAATGATGAGCTTAAAAATCTGTACTCCTCCCCTAATATTGTCAGGGTGATTAAGTCGAGAAGAATGAGATGGGCTGGGCATGTAGCGCGCATGGATGGGACAAGAGGTGTGCACCGGGTATTGGTTGGGAAGCCTGAGGGGAAGAGACCGCTGGGGAGACCTAGACGTAGATGGGAGGATAATCTCAGGCGGGATCTATGGGAGATAGGAGTTGAAGGAGACTGGATTTTGTTGGCCCAGGACAGGGTCCGGTGGAGGGCTTTGGTTAATTCGGTGATGAACCTTCGGGTTCGGTAAGCCATCTAGTTAGTTAGTTAATAATTAAAATAAGTGATAATCGTTGAGTTACATTAAAAACGTTATTGTAATGAACAGTTCTGGTAGCTTTAATTGCTATGAAAAATGTTAATAGTTTATCTAGACTAGATGCAGATGAGGGGTAAGTTTCGGACTGTGCCCCCTTTTTATTAAGAAACCTGACCTCTGATCTTGAACTGAAATGGAACGGCATAATACACTGTCATTTAAAATTGATAATTTCTAGTCTAACATGAAATTGTAGAAGCCATCCGCGTCTTTTCTCTTACTGACGCACTATTTTCTTCGTACAATCCCCTCCTTTTCATCAGTCATATTAAGAGTACAGTAAAAGATAGAATATTATAGACGTGTTTTTGGCCCATGGATGTTTCAGCACGAGCCAGTGTAGCGGACTCTGCTCGATACCTGGCAGTTATTCGTCACGCTGTCAACAGCAGTACGTCCAGAAGAGATTAGTAGCGTTGGAAGGCGGTGGAGATCGACTGTACACGGACGTATTCTGGTTCCCACACTGCTGTCTCTGTCAGATTACGCAGAACAACGGCTGAACATCAGACTCAACCTTCAAGCAATCCAAATTCTTGTCTTGTCATGACAGAAGTGAACTGAGGCAATCTCTGCCTTTACGCAAGTGAACTGAATCAGTTTTCGGGTTTTTTTTTTTACAAGAACCGTGGTGTACAAGAAATGTTGGATACTGAAATAAGGGTACATTATTAATGTGTTTACACTCTGATTCCATAAATCACTTTAGTCAAGTCTCTCCTCCTCGCTGCTTTAAGCGGACAAAAATCATAAATATTTTGACACATTTCACAAAAATCGGTGATCACCTTTTGGTTATACCACGTCCGTTTACACACAACTTGTTCTAGACGAACGAAATACTATTTTCAGTGCTTACTAAAACTCGTGACACTTTCTTCTAAATTTCTTATTGTCAGTTTAGCTACACACTAAAGTTAGACGAGACTGTATTTAAATAAATATTCGCGAAGGACAATATTTAATAAGATGTAACACTTTCATGTCGCTTTCAATCTCCTCGCCTGTCGTATTATTTTTCGAGATCAACTCAGTATAAGACAGTCTGAAAAATGGTGGCACCCCTGTTAACGCACAAGATACGTCAGAATGTTCAGTGGCTACAAAGACGTGGTGAATATATTTCTATGTTGGACATACTGCATTGCTTTTCCAGTGGAATGACATTCATTTGTCCTTGTAAATCTGTAGATCTCACACCATCAAATTCTTAGCCACGGGAACTTCTGAAGCAAATCATTTTTTTTTCACAGTTCCATACCGAGAAATATACGGGACCTACCAGAAAACGTCACATTTCCACTGCACTGCATATTACACGACACTGTTTCAAGAACGTTTAGAAACATAACCTATAATCTGAAGAATTCCTTCGGCGTAACTACTCTAATGTTAGTTTAGTGCATAAAAATGATTTATTGAAGTAATATAATATTTATTGATTTCTAGCTTTATGCTTGCCAGTACTCTATTAAATTGGAATGTATTTGATGTGTCACTTATAAGAATGACAAAATATTTCTAACATTATAAATACTGCAGGCTGAAAAAGTTGATTGATATATGGAAGGTGCTTAGAGCATCGATCATCAGAATCCATATTACTGGTCTACCAGCCGCAGTTTAACCCTTGCTAGTGCGACGCACAGCCGGCTGGAACATGTTTAAGCTGTGTCATATAAATGATAAAAGTTTAATTGTGGAACTCAAATTATCATACTCGATTCTGCTTGTATGAAGAAACTGTTGTAAATTTCATTATTAGAAAAAATTAATTTGCTACTAGTGATATTAAGATTTTTGGGGGCTTTATTAATTATTAGGATATGAGAAGTTTTAGTTATCAAAAATGTAATTTTATAAACTCCCATAAACATCTTCATTTGAATCACTGCCTGTGAGTAATTTGGATTTCACTGTCCGTCCACGTTGATAGCAATTCTGTCACCGGGATACTCGAGAGTCCCACAAAATCTGTATCGCACATCTTCGCTCTAAATTTTCATTAATTATAACAGATGACTTTGTGTATGACCTCAAGCTTTCATGGCGACCAAGTAATAGATCCTTCTCGGCCTAACACGGCTGGTAGCCCGAGAAGAGTTTATTACACAAATTTGTGTGGTTATTTCTTTAGTTTGTGCTTAGACTTTCAGTACTTGCACTGAGCTCTATAATTCTGCATACCGAACTTCATTTTAATATAAAATGTACTGCTCGCTTGAGTAAAGCTGCTGTTTATTAATGTCTGGGGGAAATTACATGATTTTGAGAAGAAACAAGATGAAGTTACATTTCCAAAAAAAACAAAAACAAATATATCTACTGAAATCCATTCAATGCATTATTAGTGCAGACTTTTATGCAAATGATGTTCATCAACAGTATTTGTCTCCATTTCTGCTGTCTACAGCACACTACACTAATATCGTCTTTATTTGCCTTAACACTACTCAAAAAGCCAACGTCTGTAGTTAATCTTTCAGTGTTTTCCTCGTTTCCCTGTACCAATAATGTTCATCGCATCTTTTCACGTATAAGATTTTATCCAAAACCTTATCTCACCCAAATTTGTAATATTATTCAGCGATGACACGCGAAGACTGCAAATACTGACGACTAAAATGTTTTTTTTTATAAATTCCATACCAGTTCTGTAAAATTTAAGTCACAATTTTATGCACGATACAGCAATTGTTAAAATAACAACAGTGAGACAGGTTATGTGTGGATTCTGTATTTTAACAATTTGTACAAATCCCCTTCCAGTTAAGTCTCAATGAAAAATAGAGATGTCTTAATATCTACTTTTAGAGTCTTTCTTACAGTCGCATGGAAAACAGACTTTGTTTCCCTATCTTCTGATTCTGATTTTAAATGATATACTAATTCTTCCGTTTGATAGCGCTCAATTCATTGCCTTCTGAATGAATGACAGCGGACATCTGCCTGAAGCAAATCGAAGTCTCGTGCGTATGAGCCATTGGCTTCTGAGACCCTTTGTGACATTTCGTAAATGCATCATGGCACAGTCCACACGAACTTGCACACTTTAAATAGAAAACAAATCCTAATTGCAACTGTCTTTAAAATTTCTCTTGATTAAGTGATTCATGTTATTTATTTCAACTGCAGAGAATCATTACTAACGATGAGCAGATAAGAATTCAAAGGAGGCAGTGGTCGTCACAGGGCTTTCGACACACTTATGCAGTCCTGTGTAAGAACGGGATTTGTAACATCTGTTTTGAAATGTTCTACGCACAACACACTTTTTCGAAAGCATCCAGCTCGACTTCCACTCTTGGATATCAAATTTTACAACGGACTGTAATTTTTCCCAATTTTTCTGCATTTCGCAGTCACTATCGCTTGACCTCCTAGAATATCGCTTCATACACAAAGATAATGGATTCTTGATTCTTTTTGTTTTTTCACGAAATGTAATGGGTGTAACAAAATTCCACGTCCTTCATGTAACCCATGGGTTCGTTATTGTGTTCACGACAGCCTACAATTGGACCCTGTCCTCAGACAGTAGAAACCAGCTGTTTCCTTAAAAACCCATCTTAATTATATCCTCATATCTCTCTGCTTAGATCTGTTCCATTTAGATTTTTTAAACTAAAATTTTGTACTCACTTCTCATACCTCCCCCCTGCATGCTATATGCCCCACCCATCTCACTCTCCTTGATGATTTTATCACAAACTTGGTGAACTATACAAGAAGGAAGTCAACAAATCAACAGCATTTTGACAGACGAATACTAAAAACATTTATATGGGAATTATTTACATAAATAGTAAACTCTATTGATAGCAATACAATGTCATTAACCTGCTTAATCATGCCATTAATTATTTCTGCACTGGCTGCTACTGACATCTGTTAAAAAATGTATAATGAATTCTTCTAGGGCTACCGGCATTTCACAGCTGGTAGCCCGAGAAGAATTCACTATACTTAGTCGCCATGAAAGCATCAGATCATACATCTTATAAGATCTGTTTCGCTCCAGTTATTTGACATTATTATTCATTCCTCTTCATTGTATAACCTATTTGGTTAATATCGAAGCTTCAAGCATAGTCATAGTTGGGTCTGGCTGAAATGTGATGTCTGAAGAAACCAAACGTGATTGGCAATGCCCAATATAATAATCAACCAACTTTCCAATAACAAAGTCCCCAGAGATTCAATGCTACAAACATTGAAGTTTCTCAATGTACCCTTACCTGAGCAATTTCAATCCACTTTACATTTTCAAAACATTCTTCCCTAAAAAAACAATTTAATATTATCCTTTCACCTATGTCTCATTCTTCTAATGTTACATTTTCTAATAGGTTTACATTCCAAAATTGTTCTACTACAGCAAATCAGCTGATGAGTCCAACATAACCTCCTTGAGTTACATAACCTAAAAGTTAAATGCAGATCACAAAGTTTCTCAATATGTAGTTTTGCCAGTTTTATAATTCTTCACGGGTGCTAGAAAGGAAATTATGATAGATCTTGACTGATGGTGTAGGTGGAACTTTCTTACTTTGCTATTCTTCTCTGTGTCTAGAAACATTTAATATTATTTTAGACTCAGACCCCTCACCCATTGCTTGGTCTGTTTTTTCTGGATTTGTTGCTCTGCTAAAGTTTTCTTTCATTGCTGTATGTCTATTCTAAAGTTCTCTATTTTACCAATTTTATTTCATTACTTCTTAAGGAGACTTTTCGCATGTTGGTCGCATAGGCCGTGAGTCTCGACAATGTCTCCACTGGCAGTTCAGCTGCTCAGTCTGGAAAGCAGATTTAATTGTGTTCACATTTATATATTTTGTCTTTGAGATTGATAATTTTATTCATAATAAAACTTGGAAGTAAAATAATGATTTTGCATTGTTCAATTTACCATACTGTTTCAAGGTGAGCACAAGCCTCGAGTAGCTGGTTAACAATGCCTTGCTGGCTGGATAACAATGCATTTTATGCGATGGTTCTGCTGTGATCCACTTTGTGGATTAACAATGAGCCATTAAAGTAAGACAAGACTTCTTACTTTTAGTTTATCAAAGCCTCAGGTGGGCTGTCACGATTAACATAAATGCTCTGTGCTTCTGCTGTGCATCTGGAAGATACTGATGTTTCAAAGGTACCTACTGCCTCCATTATAAGGCAAAAACCCAATTTAATATTTTACTCTCATCCATGATTAGATGATCTGAGTCATACATTTCTGTGGGGTTACTCAAAATTTTGAATGCATTTGGATTTAGAGGGGGGAAAAACTAGAATCATGTACTGCCCCTTAATTTTAATTAACTCTTTTACACGTCCTGTGCCTGAAAAAAATAATGTTGAATACAAATAACTGAAAATGTTGAAAAAACCACTAAAATGTGTTATAACTGTGACGTGAGATTTACTCTTAAACGTGATGGTGAAAATATTGATTATATTTAACCATCTTGGTCCGTCCCAAGTTCCCTCGAAGTATCTTTGGATCAGAGGATCTGCAAAGGTAGCAACACTGTATGTGATGTAACACTTTGCAATCCACTGCCTTCGGAATCAATCGAACGTGTAAGGAGCAAGTGCCTATTTAGTTAAGAAAAGTAAGAAAAGTTTTTTTTTATCCTGTTAAAGTCCAGTTAGAACTAATCTGTTTCAACAGTCAGTAATTCTTCAGTAGGATTCAGTATTTTCACGGTGGTCCAGGGCCCCGATGACGGAGGGAGCAAGGACCTCTGAAACATAGGTAACTTCATGACATACCACATGGCGCTACAACCCAGAAGAAAGCCATTCTAGTAACTCTTCATTTTGTATTTATAGTTTTGTGTGATTCTCGCGGTAAACAGCAATTATTTCCTTGAACTGCATTAATGAGTTGATCTTGGTAATGGTGAATTGTTGCGAGAACAACAATAACAAATCAAAATGACACTCACGAGGAAGTCAGGAGACTAAATTCCGGAAATGCTTGCTACTTCTCAGTCCAAAATATTTTGTCTTCCCGTCTGATTTCTAAGAACCTGAAAATTAAAGTTTACAAAACAATAATCTTGCCTGTTGTTTTGTATGGGTGCGAAACATGGTCTCTCACTCAGAGGGAGGAACACAGATTGCAGGTGTTTGAGAATC